TCAGAGTAAACAGGATGTATGACACTCCTGTTTATAACTGGCAGCTAGGGCTTTCTGATTGGGGCTGTTAATCTGATCCAATCAGAGAACCCATATTCTGTGAAGTCCAAATAAAAACCAAAAGAACTGCTGATGCTTTAAATCAGAAACAAAAACAGAAGTTGCTGGAAAACAGACCCTTTTGAGGAAGGGTCACCAGACCCAAAGCATTATCTCTGATTTCTCTTCACGGATGCTGCCAGACCTGTTGAGCTTTTCATAGAATCATAGAATCACTACAGTGTGGAAACAGGCCCTTTGGCCCAACAAGTCCACACTGAACCTCAGAGCATCCCACCCAGACCTATCCCCCATAACCCACCTAATCTACACTGCGGGTAATTTAGCATGGCCAATACACCTAACCTGCACATCTTTGGACTGTGGGAGGAAACTGGAGCACCCGGAGGAAACCCACACAGACATGGGGAGAATGTGCAAATTCCACACAGACAGTTGCCCGAGGGTGGAATCGAACCTGGGTCCCTGGTGCTGTGAGGCAGCACTGAGCCACCGTGCTGCCCTAGCAACTTCTGGTTCTATGAGGTCCATCTGTCTGACCTCGTTGCAATTACTACACTGGGGAGAAAGCAGGAACAGGGGGCTGAGATGGATGATCAGCCATGATCCTATTGAATGGTGGAACAGGCCCAAGGGGCTGAATGGCCTTCTTCTGCTCTTATTTTCTGTGTTTCCATGTTTCTATCTGGAACATTTTGCAGCCTTTACAGAAGCTTCGCTTGATGCAGTCAATCATAATGTCATCTTTTATGGAAGTTGGATGTTAATGTTTATTTTGAAAGGGTCATGACCTTCCAATTCTCTGGATGTAGAAAATCCCAACAGCAGCTTTCATTCCCAACATTTTTCTGACTTTTCCTGCTGCAATCAGCAATCAGTCTTGAATCCTTCTCATCTCTCATCTCACTGTAATTGAAGAATTATTGACACTTGACGTTAAAACTGGAGGAGATGCTGGTGAAATACAAAGTCATTTGCATCTTTTTAACACACCAGTGGATAGATTTCTGTTAGCCAGTGAATCGAGGGTTATCGGGGTGTACTGTGAGAAAAGTGAAATTGAAAGCCCAAACAGATCAGCCATTCATCTTACTGAATGAGAGAGCAAACTCAATCAGCCGAATGGCCCACTACTGCTCTGATTTTGTCTGTTTGTTTTAAATACTTGCCTTAAAATAACAACTAAATGCAGTTTTGCTTGTATCAATTTAAAATTATTTTGCAGTCATCCCTCACAGCAGCTTACTACAAATCCATTGTCTCATTCAGCCTCTCATGAGGTCTGTTTGTGGCGAATTAACATTTCAGGAGATGAAGCTGCTGCAGTTTGTGAGAGAACGTTCACTCGGGGAGTTTTGTTTTGCAAACATTGTTCATTGACATTAAGTCTTTATTTTTTTTATTACTCCTTTCCCTTCTGTTCACTGGGCCAACCCCTACAATGAGCTTTAACATGGAGCACTGCTTTCAGCATTGTCCTATTCCCTAAATACAGATTCATTTTTAGTTATTCTGCTGGAATCTTAATCACACTGGCTGTGCCCCATCCACACCAAGCCTGTTTAGTGCTCTTAATGTCTAACTGCAGCACAGATTTAATTTCATTCATACACACAGCGCAGCTCCCTTGGAAACAGGGAGGCATGATGAAGTGGATTACCAACACATTGACGGGAGCTGAGATCTGCAATAGTCAATTGAATAACCTCAGATTGTTTGAGAAGCTGATAGGCAGAGACAAAACAAAGTAAAATATCTGGATGGAAACATTTGAAGGTTTTTTTTAACCAGACTACTGAGGTCTGCATTTCCCTTTTATTTCCTTTGCATGCTTGAGCCTTAGTTCCAAAAATAAGATCAATTCACTCTGATGTATGAAGGTGCCAGGGCCCTGGTCAGTCGTGTCTTTGTGAAATGTGTTCAACAAGGTTGCTTAGTTGTCTTTGGACAAGGTGGGGGTGAGCTGCCTTCTTGAACCGCTGCAGTCCATGTGCTGTAGGTAGACCCGCAATGGCCTTAGGGAGAGAATGCCAGGATTTTGACCCAGTGACACTGAAGAAAAGGCGATATATTTCCAAGAGTTGGAGACAATAACGACAGCAGATGCTTGAAGCTAGAGTCTATAGGTGTGAGGCTGGAAGAGCACAGTAGGTCAGACAGCATCCGAGGATCAGGTAAGTCAATGAAACCCTTTGTCAGGACGAGGGTTTCAGCCCAAAACGTTGACTGACCTGCTCCTCGGATGATGTCTGATATATTTCCAAGTCCGGATGGTGAGTGGCTCAGAGGAGAACTTGCAGTTGGTGGTGTTCCCATGTATCTGCTGCGCTTCCCTTTCAAGACGGAAGTGGTCGTGAGTTTGAAATGAGCTGTCTGAGGTGATCTTTGCATGCACAGAACGTATGATGGCATTTTCTAAATAAATTAGGGGCGAGGGGATAACAAGGGATGAAGTGGGGCACATTAAGTACCGAAGTGTCAATCTGTGGGCAGAGTCAGAAAACATAGGTGAGGTTTTAAATGAGTACTTTGATCTCCATTCATGATTGAGAAGAACAATGTAGGGATAGAAATCAGGAAACAAGGGTGTGATATGATTGAAAAAAATTACAGTCAAGGAACAGGAGGTATTTGTGATTTTAGTGGCCTTAAAAGTAGATAAATCCCCAGGCTGCTATTGGGTGCAAAGGAGGAGACTGTAGGGGCCTGACTTTAATTTTCAGATTCTCTTTGGACACATCTAAGGTGCCATAGAAGTGAAGGACAGCGAATGTGGTTCCATTATTTTACAAGGTTGGTAAGGATAAACCAGTGAACGATGGGGCATTAGTTTAACATCAGTGGTAGAGAAATTATTGGAAAAAGATTTAAGGGGCAGAATTTATTTCCAAGTGGAGAAGCAAGGATTAATTGAGGATAGTGAGCATGGCTTTGTCATGGAAACCTGTCTGACAGGTTTGATTGCATCTTTCAAGGAAGTGACTAAATGTATGGGTAGGGGTACTGCAGTGGGTGTACGTGGATGTCAGTAAGGCTTTTGATAAAGTCTCACATAGAAGATTGGTTTAGAAGGTAAGGGGGCTCATGGGATCCAAGGTAATTTGGCAAATTGGATCCAAAACTGGCTTCGTGGCAAGAAGCAGAGGGTGATGGTCGAAGGGTGTTTTTGTGACTGGAAGCCTGTGTCCCTCAGTACTGTGTCCCTCTTGCTGTTGATTACTTTTATTAATGATCTAGACATGAATGTAGGAGGAATGATCAGTAAGTTTGCAGATGACACAAAGATTGATAGGGTGGTAAATCACGAGAAGGAAAGCCTTACACTACAGAACAATCTAGGTAGGCAGGTCAGATGGGTTGAACAGTGGCAAATGAAATATAATCCTGAAGAATATGTGGTGATGCATTTTGGGAGAACTAACAAAGTAAGAGAGTTCATGATGAAAGGTAGGACTTTTTGGGGGTAGATGATCAGACAAACCTTGGTGTCCATGTCCACAGATCCTTGAAGGCAGCGGGACAGATGGATAAATGTGGTTAAGAAAGCAGATGGGATACTTGTCTTTACTGATTGATGCATTGACTAGAAGAGCAATGAGGTTAAGATGGATCTGCATATCAAGTTAGTTAGGCCACAGCTCGATTATTGTGTGCATTTCTGGTCGCCACATTACAGGAAGGACATGATTTCACTAGAGAGGGGGCAGAGGAGATTCACCAGGATGGAGTGATTCAGTGATGAAGAGAGACTAGCGAGGCTGGGCTTGTTTTCCTTCGCACAGAGAAGGCTGAGGGTCGACCTGATTGAGGTGTGCAAAATGAAGAAGAAGATCAATTAGAAGGAACCTTTCCCCTTAGCAGATAACAAGGTGTAGAGCTGGATGAACACAGCAGGCCAAGCAGCATCAGAGGAGCAGGAAGTTCGATGTTTCAGGCCTAAACCCTTCTTCAATAAGTGGGGGACTGGGATGATATAGAGTTATGTAAGGAGCAGGACATTCCTGTAGGATCCTACAGGATGCTGCAGGAAATGCCACCTCTGGCTTGGCTTTTGAAGGGTTAAGAGATACATGTGAAAAGTGTGGGAAGATAAGGAGAGACTTTGTTTACTTGTGATGCCCTAAAGCTGCCACAAAGCAAACATCTCAGTCTGAGTCACCTCTTCACAGGTTATTGCTTTTTGAATGTTCCAGAAATGAGAGATCAGTCTATGTGAAAGCAGAGTGTCAGAGGAAAGTGAATATCTCCAGAGCGTGTGGTCAGAGTTTAAGATGCTTTGGTTTTATTTGTTTTTAATTTTAGTCAGGAGTGTCTCAGGTTCCTGGAGCTAACTGTTCTCCCCTCCCAGCGAGGCTTTGCTGCTTCTGCCTCAGTACAAACAACTCTTACAATGCCCCAGGAAACAAAAGCAGCAGGCAGGTCAGACACAGCTCTGAGACAAATGTGCCCCGAAGAAAATATAAGCTGTGCAAAGAAAGGAGCTTTTGTGCAGAAATAGTGGGTGAGATAGAATCTACAACTGCATTTCCGATTCGATTGGCTTGGAGAATGAGGACCAGCAATGTCGAAACAGGCTGGATCGATGAGATCGGAAGCTTTGGTTGGGTGAAGGACAGACCCTATGGACTGTCTGGGCTTTACATTCCTGTGCATTCTTTATTTCCAGTGCCCGATGAGAGTGAGAGACAAGACAAGATTATGCAATGTATTAGTGCATTATATCAACTTATCGGAAACCCACTGATTCAAAACTAAAATGGGAATGCTGGAGGGCTTTTGTTGTTAATTTTTGCAATTAACAGAGAGCAGTGTCTGACTGAGATGATAGCACCCTCAACAGAACAGTCACCATACACTGATCTCTGGTTTGGTGAATCAAAACAGACAGAAGCTTTCAGTCAGAAGCTGGGTGTTGTAAAATATTGGTCTAAATTAGTTGATCATATGTTCACTGTCCTAACTCTGTGTGCTTGATGCACTGTTTGAACCTGAACATATACTGTGCAGCACACAACGAGGGCACTATCTAACATTGTCTTTCTTGCTGCCAGCTGCCCACATAGGGTGCATTCTGAAGCACCATGCCCTGTGCGCACCATATTGGAGTGAGCAATTGAAACTTTATACACGGTCCAGCTGTTCTCACACTTCCATGTGGCCAGAATCTTGGACTGTACCCCAGGACATTGACAACTTCCATCAGTCCGACCTGTTTTTGTGCAGCAGAGACTTAGATTGGAGAAAGTGATGAAAATCTATGATCAAGCTGAGAGAGAGAGGACTGTGTCACTGCAGTCACCTAATGAAAGGTTGGGCCACAGAGTGAAAAGGAGGTTACACTCACTCAGACTTCCCAATGCAGTGTCCAAGATAAGGAACAGTTCATTAACCCAATCCCACTGCCACAACAATGAAAGAAAGAAACCAGTTTCCAATTTCCCCTTTCCATTTATTGATTGTCCATTTTTGGCAGCAGGAAGGATTCATAGAGTGATAGGTTTTGACAGCACAGAAAGATGCCATTTGCCCTATCATGTCTGCAGCAATCATCAAACATCCATTTATTCTAACCCCATTGTCCTGCAGAATTATGTACCTGAACCCCTAAGTCTCTGTGTTCTACAACACTATCCAGACCCCTACCTTAAATTGTATAAGTCCTACCCTTGTTTGTTTTACCAAAATGCAACACCTCACATTTATCCAAATTAAACTCCATCTTCCACTTCTTAGCCCATTGACCCATTGACCCAATTGATCAATATCTCTTTGTAATCTTAAAATAACCTTCTTCAGTCGCACAAGCACATGCACAGGCATACTTGTACACACACGCTCACTCACTCATGCGTTCACTCTCTCTCTCACACACACCACGCACACACACATCCTGACACTCTGACACGTGCTCACTCACTCATGTATTCACTCTCTCTTACACACATGCACACACACATTCAGAAACGTGCACACATTCACATCCTCATGCTCAAACGCATTCAGTCACTCATACAAACACACACACACACCCATACGTACACTGACATACACACTTTCTCACTCTCACACTTACACTCTCAGACACAGTTTTCACACACACACACACACACACACACACACACACACACACACACACACACACACACACACACACACACACACACACACACACACACACACACAGTCTGAAGGGCCAGAACAATGGGCACAGGCAGATAGATTACTGTTCAAGGCCTGCTATTCAGCCCAGCCTTTGTTATTATCTTTGCATGTGTTCAGTGGATTCTCCACAATCAGCAGTCCATGTAAATGTCTATCACAGGATCAGAAAGAGCTGAATACCTTACAATGGTAGCATTACAATTCACCAGACACTTTACACTCAATCCGCTGCATTTACAGTTGATTCAGTAAAACCCGTATACACGTTAGTGACAAAGGATTCTGAAGATTAGCGCATAGTGATGACTAATAAAGTTTATCTTTCACAATTCCTTGACATGTGGACAATGAATATCTAACAGCTGAGAAATAGAAACAGTTCCCAGTGCACATCATCTGACTGAGGCCAGGATCGAGAATTCTGACAGTTCATTCATTGGTCAATTTCATCATCTGAAGGAAGGTGGTGTGCACTGGGCTCCAGTTTATCAACTCCTGACTCCAACTCTCATTCACCACACCCAAATCTGGCTTTCAAATGCAGGCTGATTTCTGTTTTACAAGAAAATGCTGATTTGTAAATGGCTGAACAATGAGGAAATAATAAATTACCAGTGTTGATGAAGAACAAGATAACAAGTATCTATGTGTGAGAGAGAGAGAGTGAGTGTATGTGTATGTTTGTGAGTGTGAGAGAGAGAAAGTGTGTATGTGTGTGTGGAAAAGTGAGTGTTTATGTGAGAAAGTGAATGTGTTTGAGAGACAGTGAAAAAGATTGTGCATGAGATAGAGTCTGTGTGAGCATGAGAGAGAGAATGTGTGCGTGTCTGGGTGAGTGTGAATGTGGGAGTGTGAGTGAGTGAGCATGTGTGTCCGTGTGAGTATGGGGAAAGAGGGTGTGAGTGTGTGTATGAGGGTGTTTGTGAGTGTGTGGGTGTGTGGGATGTTTTGCTCATTGATTTAATTGCTGTCTGATGAAGACTCAGGGTCTCTGGAATATGAAAGGGACAGCAGTTTGTAAACAATTATTCAAATCCATATTCAGTTTGTAAGGCCATGGTAGAGGTCACAGTTTAAAACAGAAGTGGCGTGAAACCTTTTCTCTCAGCAAGTTTGGAATTCTCTTTCTGAAAAGGTACTGAAAGTAGAGTCTTTGAATATGTTTAAGACAGAGCTGCAGAGATTCTGGGTAAGAAACGGGGTGAAAGGTAATTGGAGTTGGTGGGAATGTGGATCAGCTGTGATTGTACAGCGTGGAGGGACTGAGTGGCCTATTCCTTGTTTTTGCATTAATTTACATTCCTGCTCTTGTAAAACTTCTGCTTCCACTCTCTGTATCAAAGGCACTGGAGCAATTAATTAGCGCTCTTATTATTTCTGTTTTCAAACTGAGTGATGTTAAATCCTCACTCTTCATTCTATTACTCCTCAGCTCCTTTCAAGATCTGGCAAAACAGTCTGATTTATCGTACGGCACAGTGAGAGACTCGTCTGTCTATGAGTACTTCCAGGCAAAGGGGACCAACCCCCTGGAGCAGGACAGCACGTACGCTGAACTTTGGAGAACAATCAGTAAAAACAACGGGGCAGACAACTGTGTGTCAGCTACTAACGAAGGCATCAGGAAGGTAAGATCCACACCAACACTCCCTTAACTCCCATTCACCTCAACAAATCGATCCACCTTGTAAAGTATTTTTTATCAACTTGTTCAGAGATGCTATGACACATCACTGGACCAGGTGGGATTTGAACCCAGAGCTTTTACACAGAAGTAGAGACACAAAGTCCCAGTTACTATTCAACATCTGCCATCTGCCTGAACATAAGGTCTTTTCCACACCTCCTGGAACCATTTCCCAGGTAATGACTTTGTTAAAATAGCCAACTCCTGCTTTCTTGTTTAAATATAATGTTAAAATAAATATAATACCCAGTGAC